TCAAAGAAACAACCTAATCTCGAAGCTCAAAGATCTAGAAAAAGAACAACAAAAAAACCCCAGAACCAGTAGAAGAAAAGAAATAATAAAAACCAAAGCAGAAATAAATGAAATTGAAACTAAAAAAACAATCCAAAAGATCAATGAAACCAAGAGCTGGTTCTTTGAAAAAATAAATAAAATAGACAAACCCCTAGCCAGGCTCACAAAGGAAAAAAGGGAGAAAGCACAAATACACAGAATCATAAATGAAAGAGGAGAAATCACAACGGACACAGCAGAAATCAAAAGAATAATCAGTAACTACTATGAACAGTTATATGGAAACAAGTTCAACAATCTAGAGGAGATGGACAAATTCCTACAACTCTACAATCACCCAAAGCTAGATAAAGAAGAAATAGAACACCTAAACAGACCAATTACAAGCAGCGAAATTGAAATGGTAATTAAAAACCTCCCCAAAAACAAAAGCCCAGGACCTGATGGATTTACAAATGAATTCTACCAAACATTCAGAGACGAATTAGTGCCTATCCTTCACAAACTCTTCCAAAAAATTGAGAAGGAAGGGACAATACCAAACACGTTCTATGAAGCCAATATTACACTAATACCAAAACCGAATAAGGACAACACAAAAAAGGAAAACTATAGGCCAATCTCCCTAATGAACACTGATGCAAAAATCCTCAATAAAATTTTAGCTATCAGAATCCAACAATGTATCCATAAGATAATTCACCACGACCAAGTTGGATTCATTCCAGGGGCACAAGGATGGTTTAACATCCGAAAATCAATCAACGTTATCCAACACATCAACAAAAAGAAATATAAAAACCATATGATAATATCAATAGATGCTGAGAAAGCTTTCGACAAAGTGCAACACCCATTCATGATAAAAGCCCTTGAAATTCTTGGGATACAAGGAACATACCTCAACATCATAAAGGCCATCTATGACAAGCCAACAGCCAGTATCATTCTCAATGGTGAAAAGCTGAAAGCAATTCCATTAAGATCTGGAACAAGACAAGGATGTCCACTCTCACCACTGCTTTTCAATATAATACTGGAAGTCCTAGCCAGAGCAATAAGACAAGAGAAAGACATCCAAGGAATCCAAATAGGAAAAGAAGAAGTCAAACTATCACTATTTGCAGATGATATGATAATATACATAGAGAACCCCAAAATCTCCACAGAAAAACTAATTCAACTCATCAATCAATTCAGTAAAGTGGCAGGATACAAAATCAACACGCAAAAGTCAGTAGCCTTCCTATACACAAACAATAAATCTGAAGAAGAAGAAATCAAAAAAACCACCCCTTTTATTATCGAAACAAAAAAAATCAAATATTTGGGAATAAATCTAACAAAAGAGGTAAAGGACCTATACAAAGAAAACTATAAAACACTGTTAAAAGAAATAGAAGAAGACACAAAGAAATGGAAAGACATCCCCTGCTCATGGATTGGAAGAATAAACATTATTAAAATGGCCATCCTACCAAAAGCAATATACAGATTCAATGCTATTCCAATCAAAATCTCAATGGCATTCTTCAAAGAAATAGAACAATTATTGATGAAATTCATATGGAATCACCAAAAACCCCGAATAGCCAAAGCTCTACTGAAAAAAAAAGAAGGAAATGGAGGCATCACACTCCCAGACTTCAAACTCTACTACAAAGCCATAATCATCAAAACTGCATGGTATTGGAACAAGAACAGACATACAGACCAATGGAATCGAATAGAAAATCCTGAAATAAACCCACAGATTTATGGTCAACTAATCTTTGACAAAGGAGCAAAGACTATGCATTGGAGCAAAGAAAGTTTGTTCAATAAATGGTGCTGGGAAAACTGGGTCGCTACATGCAAAAGAATGAAGCTTGACCACTACCTCACACCATACACAAAAATCAACTCAAAATGGATTAAAGAACTAGACATAAGACCTGAAACCATAAAATACATAGAAGGAAATATAGGCGAAACACTACGGGATTTGCACATCAAAGACATCTTTACAGACACATCACCCAAAGCAGTGATAGTGAAGAGAAAGATAAACAGCTGGGACTACATCAAATTAAAGAGCTTCTGCACAGCAAAAGAGACAATAACAAAAACAAAGAGAAACCCCACCAACTGGGAGAACATTTTTGCACCCAACACTAATGATAAAGGACTGATCACAAAAATCTGCAAAGAGCTGATGAGACTCAGCAACAACAAAGAAAATAATCCAGTCAAAAAATGGGCAGAAGAGCTAAAAAGAAACTTCTCTGAAGAGGAAATGCAAATGGCCAACAGACATATGAAAAAATGTTCAACATCACTTGTAATCAGGGAAATGCAAATCAAAACTACCATGAGATACCATCTCACACCAGTGAGAATGGCACATATTAAAAAAACTAACAACAACAAATGTTGGCGAGGATGTGGAGAAAAAGGAACTCTTGTGCACTGTTGGTGGGAGTGCAAACTGGTCCAACCACTATGGAGAGCTGTGTGGAGATTTCTGGACCTACTAAACATAGAGCTTCCATATGATCCAGCAATTCCACTCCTAGGTATTTACCCAAAGGACACAGAAACATCAATTCCAAAGAGCACCTGCACTCCTATGTTTATAGCAGCACTGTTTACAATAGCTAAGCTTTGGAAACAACCCAAATGCCAAAAATAGATGACTGGATCAAGAAGATGTGGTACATATACACCATGGAATATTACTCAGCATTCAAAAAAGATAAACACATGCAATTTGCAGCAACATGGATGGCACTGGAAGGGATCATGCTCAGCGAAATAAGCCAAAAAGAAAAAGAAAAATACCGGATGGTCTCACTCATAGCAGGAATCTAGAAAACTTAAATAAGGGACCAGGAAAATGAATATAAGAAAGTGAAAATCAAAATCAACAAAAAACTATGAACCAGAGACACTTTTTGGGGGGTGGGGTGCGGGAGGGGAAGGATTGGGGTCAGAATGGGGCATTTGCAATTGTATGGGGGAATATAAAAATAAATTAAAAAAAAAAAAAAGAAAGAAAAAAAAAAAAAAAAATAATCCAGTCAAAAAATGGCCAGAAGAGCTAAAAAGAAACTTCTCTGAAGAGGAAATGCAAATGGCCAACAAGCACATGAAAAAATGTTCAACATCACTTGTAATCAGGGAAATGCAAATCAAAACTACCATGAGATACCATCTTACACCAGTGAGAATGGCACATATTAAAAAAACTAGCAACAACAAATGTTGGCGAGGGTGTGGAGAAAAAGGAACTCTTCTGCACTGTTGGTGGGAGTGCAAACTGGTCCAACCACTATGGAGAGCTGTGTGGAGATTTCTGGACCTACTAAACATAGAGCTTCCATATGATCCAGCAATTCCACTCCTAGGTATTTACCCAAAGGACACAGAAACATCAATTCCAAAGAGCACCTGCACCCCTATGTTTATAGCAGCACTATTTACAATAGCTAAGCTTTGGAAACAACCCAAATGCCCAAAAATAGATGACTGGATCAAGAAGATGTGGTACATATACACCATGGAATATTACTCAGCATTCAAAAAAGATAAACACATGCAATTTGCAGCAACATGGATGGCGCGGGAAGGGATCATGCTCAGCGAAATAAGCCAGAAAGAAAAAGAAAAATACCGGATGGTCTCACTCATAGCAGGAATCTAGAAAACTTAAATAAGGGACCAGGAAAATGAATAACTATAAGAAAGTGGAAATCAAAATCAACAAATAACTATGAACCAGAGACACTCTATGGGGGTAGAGGGCGGGAGGGGAGGGATTGGGGTCAAAATAAGGGGGTTGCAATTGTATGGGGAATATAAAAATAAAATTTATTATTAATAAATAAATAAATAAATTTCTGTACTACTTTACATTCTTCAAAACAAGCATGGGTTATGTTTTCAGAAAGATTTTCTCATTTTCAGAGCAAAAAGAATGTTTGAAAAGACTGATTTTGCTAAGTGTGCACTTTTGCTTTAAATCCCAATGAGTCATTCAAATCCTCTAGAATGAAGCTTCTAGGTTTTAGAGAACGCCACAATTAAAATACTGAAATTAATTTGGAAGATTAAAAAACCCAACCTCCCCTAATCTCACCCAGTTTTGCCAGTCTAGACTTGCCTTGGGAGGAGGGGAGAGGAGAATCTGTACAGATAAAAAGAAAAGACTAGAATGCTGAAAACTTGCCACCTGCCACATAAGGAGTCGCTGGTCAGTCTTACTTTTCATCCTATCCTATCTGGCTTGCACAATCTAGTCTTCTTTCTTTCTCTCTCTCTCTTTTTTTTTAATGTAGTTGCTGCTTAGTTAGGTTTTTAGAATACTAATTTCTGAAGATAAGATCCATCTGTGAGGAACAGTGGGAACACCAGTGGCCTTAGAGTGAAGGGACAGCTTTGAATCTGTCCATAAGTTGTGAGTCTAAGCTTTCTGGTCAACCTCTAAGCTTCTGTTTTCCTCTTTTCCTTCTCCCCTCGCCTCCCTCTCCATAGGAGTCTTAGTCTCTCATGAGCATCCCGCTGTCCAAAAGGGAGCTGGAATTTTCTGAGTACCTGTTCATTTTGCATACAGAGTCCTGGGACTTTTAGAAGTTCTGCAAACAGAAATTCTTTCCAGAATTGACTCCTGTTCTCTGAGGATATACTAGCTTAAGTGCAAGTTCCCTACTAATCAGAAAAACTTGTTTTCAGCAATAGCTTATTAACCTGTTTTTAGCAAAAACACAATTGTGTGCTATTTTCTTGTTCCTTTATTCATATCTTTAATAAAAACTTGGGTTGGGTGAGTGAAAGGCAGAGCTTTTCTCGATGGCTCTCTCCCCAGCCTCCCTCTGTTGCAAATTCATTTAGACTCCGAGTCTTCATTGATAGCAGAGAACTTCATCAGCTGTCTGGCTGTCCGTGGCAGTCTCTATGTTAATTTTCAGGAATCCTGAAGCATGGCAGGGAAACCCAAGCTTCACTACTTCAACGGAAGAGGCAGAATGGAAACCATCCGATGGCTCCTGGCTGCAGCAGGAGTGGAGGTAAGATGCTGGATTTGTTTCCAGTATTTTCATTTTGAAGTCGCTGGGGACACTGTAGAACACTCTGCATGATTCCTGAACAAAAAGCAGCTTAAATGTTGGACTACGCATGAATGTTAGTTCGTTTAATTAAGTGCCCAAACACTGTGGTAACCGGTTGTTGTTCCAAGGTGATGCAAACAATGTTCGAGGAGGAAAGGAAGAGGAAAGGAGGACTGTGGGGAAGGAGATGGAAGGACTGTTCTCAAAACAGAAAAAAATGAAATCTGCTTTCTGAGTCCCATGTGGCTCTTCCTTGGATCCTCTGATAACACATACTGTACATTCAGGGTGGGCATCGTCCTAGCTTGTCAGTGGTTAGAAGAAAATTCTACAGTCAATATCCACCTTCTGTGCCCAAATTTTCCTTTTTCTGTGAGCCATAGCATATCTTCACAGTTAGATAGCCATGGCTAGCGCGTGCACTTCTGCTGGAATGGCTGTGCTCAATGTCTCTGGAGTCCCAGCAGCACCTAACATGACGTCTCACACCATAAGCCTTTCAGTACAGGATGGAAGAAAATACATTATTATTATTTTAAGTTCAGGTGGGAAACCGTTTCTGTACCACCTGGTGAAACTCAATCTATAGCTACAGAAATTCCCTCAGGTTACATCTGAATTTTGCTGCACCCCATGTGTACACCCAGAGCCTGGGCACCTGCAGGATTGCAGCTGCCAATTCTTCCCCCCGGGGGGCTGTGGGGGTTTAAACACCCTTATTGGGGCTTGAGATTGGGCTCCACGCTCTGAGCACTTGGCATCTGGCCAAACCAGACAGTCAAAGTTGCCCTGAAGTTCCAGACAGGAGAAACTGAAATCATAAAAATATGCTTAAAAAAATCTCACACTTCATAAAAGTCACAGGTAATCTTTAGATTTAGAAGAAAATACTATGGAGGAAGCTTTGTTTTAAACTTTGGTTATCCCTGATATCTCAAATATTCTCATATTTGGTATCAATTCGGTAATTGGCTTGTTACTTTAAAAATTATTTCAATATAAATTATATATATTTACAAAGATAGAAATTTGAGGGATTCTGGCCCTGGTTCTTCCATTCTTTTGCTGAGGGACTGCTTTCCTTAAGTATCAAATATAGGCTTGAAAAAGAAGAGCTGCAATATTATAATGTCAGCTGTTGCCTTTTTTTCCCTTATGAAAATGAGAGGGGGGAGGAGAATCAACTCTCTCTGTGAACCAAGAATGTTTTTTGGAACACAGGAGAGTAAGAGGTAGTGGAGAGACTGCACTTAGTGTTGGATGCTGTTGAGCAGGCTTGGAGAAGAGGAAAAGAAAAGACCCACCCCCACCCCCACACCCAAAACCCTCACATAGAGATTCTTTTTCAAAGTAGTAAGGCGGGGGCCTCCCTAGTGGCGCAGCGGGTTGAGCGCTGCGCTGTAAAGCTGTCCACAACCTCTGCAGTATGGGTTCGATTCCCAGCTGGCAAGGGAGAAACTCACATGGCACAGCAGACCTCTCCTGTCTTGCCCGCTGCTCCCCTCAACAGTGTATTTCAGCCAATCTGCCTGTTCTGCTGCCTGCTCTGTCTCTGGTGAATTCTCTTACCCTCCCACGCCTCTGACTGTACTCTAGTTCTTGTATAAATAAATAAACCTTAAAAAAAATAGTAGTAAGGGGGGCCTCCCCGTTGGCGCAGCAGGTTGAGCACTGTGCTGTGAAGCTGTCCTCAGCCTCTGCAGTAGGGGTTCAATTCCTGGCCGGACAGGGATATACCTACATGGTGCAGGAGACCTCTCCTGTCTCGACCGCTGCTCCCCTCAGCAGTGTTTTCCATCATCTTCCTGTCCTGCTCCCAGCTCTGTCTCTGGTGAATCCTCTCACCCTCCCGCACCTCTGACCTGTACCCCAGTTCTTGTATAAATAAATCTTAAAAAAAAAAAAAAAAGTAGTAAGGATCCCATATCGATCTTCTGATTGCTGTGACTCTGCTCACCGAGGCATTGTCATAAAGAAAAAAATATGTCGCTAAACCACTTCTGGTTTTGAGAGAAAGTCTAATAAGTATAAAAGGTGTTTTTTTGCATAAAAGAAGTGGGGTATAGGTCACAGGTACAGGGAGGGCATGGTAGGGTGAGAAGATTCACCAGAGACAGAGTGGGAAGCAGATAAGATGGAACGACTGAAATACACTGCTGAAGGAGCAGTGGGGAGGTCTGCTGCACCCGGTGGGTCACCTCCCTGGTTGGGGATCAAACTCATAGCAGTGATAGTGCTGAGCCTTAACCCCTAGGTCATCAGGGAAGCCTGTAACAAGGTTTTTTTTTTTTTTTTATGCTTATCTGTATTTTCTAATCTTTCTAAAATGAGTTTCTGTAACTTGTACAATAACATTGAAAATAGTCTTAAGTGAATAAAGGGAAGTAAAGATTTTTGCATCTTTACATACATTTTTGTCTTGTAAAAATGGCAGAATTGCCTAGAGACTGAAGCATTTCTTGCTATTAGATCTGAGAGTTTAGTTAATGCTGGTCTTCTGGGTTTACGACTGAGAGTGATTGAACACCTCAATTTAACACTATTTAACACTAAGTATCAGGAATTATGTCCAGTGACTCCTTATATAGCTATCTTTCCTTTTTTTTGTTACTTCAAATGTTAAAATTTAAATTTAAAAATTGCTTTATAGTATAGGTTGTAGAATAGAATCTTTGGGGAAAATAATACTTTCAGTTCTGTGTTGGGTTTTTACATCTCTAATCATGATATAAAATAACACAGAAAAACTCATCATGTTTAAATTTTATATTCAATTTGCATTGTGTAAAATGAGCTCAATTTGGGGGTGTATTTTTTTTAAAGATTTATTTATTTATGCATACAAGAACTGGGGTACAGGCCAGACGTGTGGGGAGTGACAGGATTCACCAGAGACAGAGTGGGGAACAGAACAGGCAGACTGACTGAAAATAATACACTGCTGAGGGGAGCAGCGGGCGAGTTATGAGAGGTCTGCTGCGCCATTTTGAAGAGAAAGCGTCAGGTTAATTGGTAATACTCTAAAAATAAAACTGAAAACCAGACAAGACATCTTTCTGGAAGCAACTAGAAATAATCTATACTGGTTTCCTTAATTAATGCAACAAAGGGTGTTTTGAGTTCATTCAGGTCTATTGTCAAATTGTTATCAAGTCATTTTTGAGATTTGCTGCAACTTAATCTGTCTCTAAGCCTCTTGGGTTTAAACAGAGAATGTACAGTGGAATGGTCAAACATTTGAGTGTTCTTTAAACACTGGAAATAAGGGATAACAAACACTACCTAAGTGAAAGTTTGAGGAAAAAGAACACAATGGTTATTGTTGAGCCCAGCCTGTGAGCTCGTCTTATCTGATATGATCTCATTCAACCATCACCACTGGGAGCAGGTATCAGCTTCATTTTCACACATTAATAAATTGAAATCAGAAGAAGGTTAGTAATAAGTCTGAGCTAATTAAGGGAGTAGTCTACATTAAAGTGTAAACGTTTACATGGCAGGCTATAGCTACCCAACAGTATAAGCTCAGTTAAATCTAGTAAACCCTTTGCTTTGGTTTTATGTGAACACCTCCTTAGTTTTGCAGGATGCAGAAAAGACAGCCAAGATCCAGTAACTGCTTGACATGTCGGTTTAATTGGTGGTTTAACTCCTCTTCCATGATACTTACAGCAATAAAAATAAACTACTAACAGCAACGTATTCTTGTATTCTTTCATTCCTTAGTTTGAGGAAGAACTTTTTGAAACACGGGAAGAATTTGAGAAATTAATTCAAGGTGAGGTAAAAGCCTGGTCACTCATGTTGTTGCCTTAGGCCAAGAATGAGCTCGTCTCTGCACTACTATGAAAGGCATACACACACACATGCTACATAAGAGCAGTGACAGCTGTGGGGAAGGTATTGTCTTATCTCTGCTTGAGGAAGGAGTCACTCATGTCTTGCAGTAAGCACAAAAGCTCTAACCAGCCTCTAAGCTGTGCTGATTCATCCCCTCCATACCTGTGTCCAAAGCCCGGGGATGCGGTCCACCTTTCTTCATGGCACAGCACTGTTCTTTTGCTGCCTTTCAGTTCTCTAGGGCCTAACTAACTTCTTTATGTTAAATTCTTCCTGCTAAAGTAACTAGCATGGTTCTGTCAGTTGTGTCTCCCATCTGGACCCTGACTCATGTGATTAGGGAGCAGAGACTGTACAGTTTAACCTGGTTGCAAGGGCAGAAAAGCCAGGTTTTCTTGCATGAACTCTGTCCAAAGAAATGGGAAATGATGGAAAAAGAACAAGGTCAATTGAAGGGGCTAAGAGGGGAAATCGCAGAGCCAGCTTTACTATTGCTCTTCTGAGGGAGGGGGAGAGAGAGATAGAATATGCATTCTTTTTAATGAAACCATGACTATTTTTTTCTTAATGCAAAGATTCCTTGGAAGATTTTTTTTTTTGAGATTTATTTATTTATACAAGTACTGGGTACAGTCAGAAGCACGGGAGGGTGAGAGAATTCACCAGAGCCAGAGGGGAGAGCAGAGCAGGCAGACTGACAAAGTACACTGCTAAGGGGAGCAGCAGGCAGCAGGAGAGGTCTGCACACCATGTGGGACCCTCACTCGGGGCCAGGGATCGAACCGGCACTGCAGAGGTTGCGGGCAGCTTCGCAACCCAGCGCTCAACCGCTGCGCCACCAGGGAGGCCCGATTCCTTGGAAGATTGAAAAAGCAAGGCCCAAACAAGCTGTCACCCAAATGGGAGATGGCTGGGGTTCTGGGGGGCAGAAGGGAGGGAAAGGGCACAGTCAATCATGTAGGAGAGTGGTGAGGACAAATAATGTAGAAGGAATAAAAAGGCAAATTTCAAGGAGCACTTTGAATTACAGGAGGCTGAGGTTAAATATTCTCTTACAAGAAATGAAGAATAATGGAAAGGGTTAAGCAGAGTCTTAGGATTCCAGGAAACAACAGGCAGTGTGCAGGGGGTAGGAAAGAAGTGGCCATCTGGGGGCAGAATGAACAGTTCTGAGGTCAGAGGTTAAAGTAGTGGATTGGTCATAGGGATGGAAAGTGAGAAGGAAAAGGAATCCTTGCCCAAAAGCTTCTGTATCTCCCAGATCATGTGATCATGTCTGACACATTTTCCTATGAATGCATAGTTTCATCTTAGTACATATTATTTTGAATATTTTATTTGATTACATAGCCCTATTTTATATTACCTTTAGAGTTAAAGAACAGTTACTACTATCAGGGACAGGAAATAATCCAGCTTCCTTTGTATGCTCTCAGGTGGAACCCTGATGTATGAACAAGTGCCCATGGTGGAAATTGACGGGATGAATTTAGTAGAAACGAGAGCCATCCTAAGATACATAGCTGCAAAGTATGACCTGTATGGACAGAATCTGAAGGAACAAGCCTGGTACAGTTATCACTTCTAACTTAGAACAAAGTATTTTTAAAAAGAAAACCTGTCCTCTAGGCTTGAAAGCAGAGTCATACATTGTCTAGATCCTCACTGGATAACAGAAAATGCTTGTTTATTTAACTTTCTATTATGGAAAAAAAAATCTAACATATATCAAAGGCACAAGAATAGAATAAACCCAATGCACCCAACATCTACCTTCAACAGGATCAATTCATGATCAACTACAATGCTTCTTTATTTTCTGGTTTATATTTAGTGTTAAGCCATTAGCTCTCGTGTACAGAATTTGGTTTTTGAAATCTGTGGCTTTCTGGGGATCTGTTTGCCTTCACTAGGTAGGAATAGCACACAGAGTAAGTAAATCACAGACTTAAAACTTGGGACACTGATCCTGAAATGACCTTTGGAAACCACCTCATTAGTGTCTGGTCATAGCGGATAACCCACTCAGTTTCCCATGTATTAGTTAATTCTCATATGCACACAGCAATACTTTTACAGGGGCAGACCTATCTACAAGCCAGCAAAGTAAAAGTTTTGTCTTACCTGGAGTTTAAAAGAGCAACCTGTAACTGTAAATTACTGCACAGAATTAGAAAATCAATAGCAGGCAAGCAATAAGCATCGGACCTGATTCACTAAGTGAAGTGTTTTAAATAAATTCTCATTGCTTAAGTTGTTTTATTTTAAAAATATTTATTTTTAGAAACAGCTTTAAGAAATTTGCTAAAGTTTTAAAAATTGATCTTTTATTTTTAAAACTCAATGTGAGCTTTCTCTTGCTTTTGAGAGTCTGTCCAATTTCTGCTGATTACATCCCTGCAATCAGGGATAGTTGGATGCAGAGATTTTACCTGACTCAAGTTCTAGTGGCTTTGTCAAGACTACGTCATAGGTATTGAGTGGTCCTACATTAGGAAGCACAAAACGTCTGCTTGTCTGTCCTTTATGATATAGTAGCCATTCGTGTTCAATGCTGTCATTCCTTCTAGACTAATTTTTTTTTAAAGATTTATTTATTTATTTATACAAGCACTGGGTACAGTCAGAAGCGTGGGAGGGTGAAAGAATTCACCAGAGCTGGGCACAGGACAGGCAGGCGGATGAAGTACACTGCTGAAGGGAGCAGCAGGCATGGCAGGAGAGGTCTGCGCGCCATGTGGGACCCTCCTCCAGTAGCTGGGGATCGAACTGGCGCTGCAGAGGCTGCGGGCAGCTTCGCAGCCCAGCCCTCAACTGCTACGCCACCAGGGGAGGCCCCATTCCTTCTAGACTATTCTATTATCTAGACAATTACCCTAAAGGAGACGTCCCTTCATCTACAGTCTGGTTGCCTGGGTGCCATAAAGGAAACACATGATAAACCTTTACCAATTTTCCAATGATGACTTAGCACACCTGTAGTCTCCTGTGTTGGTTTTATTATCAATATGAAGTCACCAATGAAACATCTTTAATGTTCCAATTTACTTCCACTGTTATTCTAACTTATGTTCACATTGTCCTATTTTGGCAAGTGGCCAAGTGGCTCTTTGGAATTTTTGACTTACCCTAGTGGTCTCTGATAGCTTCCTTATTATCTGGCATATCAAGATGATCCAGATTAATCCTGTACATCCCTTATTCCAGACCTGAATGCAGTCATTTCTCGAACTCTGTTTCCTTTTAATGAAAAATGGTTTAGTAGTTTATCCTTTACAGAACTAATATTTATAAATTGAAAATGAATTGTTACACATGGCACCTTCACTGATATATCATTGTAAGTCTTGTTAGACACTTTATATTTTAAATCTTTCAAGTACATAATCCCACAACAAACCTAATGCTCAGAAAGCTATTTACAGACATTATCTCTTTTAGTTCTGTGGGTTGACAAGGATCAGCTCAAAGTCTCTCATATATCTGGCACCTGGGTTTGGAGAGCTGGACCTACCTGGGTTTCTCTCTTCCACATAACTTTTCCACGTGTCTAGCTTCCCTTAGAGCTAACGTGGGAGAGGACCAGGTGGAAGCTGTAAGGCTTCGTAGGACCTTGCCTTAAAGTCTCAGAACCTTACTTCCCCATATTCTATTGGCCAAGCAAGCCCCCAAGGTCTACTCAGATACTACAGGAGAGTGGATTCTTAGTGGCAGGAGTTGCAAAGAATGTGAGGATATCTTCAAGTCATCCATTGCTATGCTAGGTTAAAGCGAAAGGAACTATGGTTCAAAAAGGTTAAGTGACACAGCGTGGAAAGGACAGAGGTTTTACATTGTTCAGATGGTCTTTTTACTATGCCTGGTGCCTTGTTCAACATGATACCCTTCTTTCCATTCAGAGTTGTGGCTGGTGGTAGGTGAGAACTTGTGGGTTATCTTGTGCTATCTGTTCTAGAACTTAAAATTACAGATGGTGATGCTGTTGAAGTGTGGAGGTCCTTAGGTACCTCTTCCCGGACAGACGCTAGTAAAAGGATGATCTCACTGTTACTGCATTTAAAAACCAATTATGATCTTTGCCTAATTTATTACTTTGGTATTCTTCTAATATTTTATGTGTCTTTTAATTAGCTTTAGGGTTACATAGCTGATATTCACACACATCTAATCACATATTTGAATACTATAATTTTCCTATCTCCTAAACTGATCTTTCTTGATATCTCAAAAGAACAGCATGCAAGTAAAAACACCTGATTTAAGTTAACAGTACACTGGAAAACCTGATAGGCAGATGACACTGAAGTACTACTGAAAAGGTTTCTTTGGTTCATGAAATGATAGTTCCCTTTACCTAGAACTCTTTAAAATTATTGTCCTTTCTCTAGGATTGACATGTATGTAGAAGGCTTGAAGGACCTGAGTGACATGATTATGTTCTTCCCACTTTCTCTGCCTGAAGAAAAGGATATGAATCTTCAATATATTCTTGAAAGAGCCACTGAAAGATTCTTCCCTGTCTATGAGAAGGTAACCAATAAATTTCTGGTCTGCTTTAGAACTTGGATCAAGGGGAGAAAAATCAACTAAACTAAAGAATAAAGAACATAATTTGTGGATGAAAGATCTCAAAACACTTTGTGAAAACAAAATTCTTCCCCAGTTGTAGTTACAAAACAAATAGGCCTTGCTTCTACCCCATTTTTGTGAATTTTCTATTTTTAAGGATTTCATGCATTTCTGGTGTTGTTAAAAATTTCAGTTGCCTGATTTAGTTCTGGAGTAAAATAGGGTCTTACAAAAAGAGGATTCTAGGTGGAAGAAATCCCACATTACTTAGAGAGCTGAGAATGAGGATGGGATGGATATTATATCCAAAATACACTTGATAGTATCAGGGTTTCGGGTAGTTCATAAGACTTAGCAGAATTCTATGCAATATTCTAAGAGTTGAGAAAAAATTGTTTTTAAAAAACACCATTTTTCATCTGTCATTGCATTTTTAATAGTTAAATATATCTTTAAAAGCTTGAGCTTTAGGGCCTCCCCTGGTGCAGTGGTTGAGCGCTGGACTGCGAAGCTGCCCGCAGCCTCTGCAGCACAGGTTCGATTCCCGGCCGCCGGCGAGGGTCCCACATGGTGCGACAGATCTCTCCTGCCGTGCACACTGCTCCCCTCAGCAGTGTACTTCGTCAGTCTGTCTGTTCTGCTCCCCGCTCTGGCTCTGGTGAATTCTTCTCTTCCTCCAACACTTCTGACTGTACCCAGTGCTTGTATAAATAAATAAATAAATCTTTTAAAAAAAGTTAAAAAAAAAAAATCTTGAGCTTTAAGAAAAAAGTGTCATCTCTAACACAAGAGCTGAATGATCGCTTTAGTTATCAATGCTCTTATTCTCCAGCTGCATTCATTGTATCAGTAAACCTAGGAAAGTATTGTAAAAAAATAATAGTTTGTTAAAAAAATGAACCAGATGAGTTTTCCAACCCCACTTGTCATGCTGGCTTAATCAGTCCTTCTGGGTTAAGAAACAATGGTTCTAGTTGAATGATTTAATATATAACTTTTAAATATATTTATCATATCAGCAATTTTAGAGCCCAGTCAGGTAACGCACATTATACGAATTTGTCATAGATGACAGCTACTCTAACTCCTTAGGCTATTCTTTTCCCTTAATAACTTTTAGTGAGTTATTAGTTCTCTTGGTCCAAGATGGAAGATGAATCAAACTGTGAACAGTCTAACTTTAGACTCTGTCCTTATCATTCTTTCAAAAGTATTTAAAAGAGCAGAAGATTTTTGTCTTAGAATTTTGCAAATATTGACAAAGGGAGGGAAATTTAACACCACAATTCGAAATGACTGAAGTGATTTATTTTTCCAAAGAATAAAGAGTGCACTTTAAAAAAAAAAAAAAAAAAAGATTTATTTATTTATTTATATAAGCACTGGGTACAGTCAGAAGCGCGGGAGGAAGAGAGAATTTACCAGAGCCAGAGCAGGGAACAGAATAGGCAGAGTGACGAAATACACTGCTGAGGGGAGCAGCGGGCACGGCAGGAGAGGTCTGCGAGCCATGTGGAACCCCCGCTGGTGGCCGGGGATCGAACTGGCACTGGAGAGGCTGCAGGCAGCTTCACAGCCCAGCGCTCAACCACGGCGCCACCAGGGGAGGCCCAAGAGTGCACTTCTTAACACCTTTCTCTTAACAGTGTATATTACATTATCTGTTTTTTGGTATCCAGTAAATGAGATATTTGTTTCGCAGCCTTTGTTTGGATACTATTTATTTGTATTTATTTGGGTTGTCGGAAAAGTCATGAAGTATTTTTTCTATGTTTTTCAAGCAAAAATGCATCATGACTTTTCCGACACCCCAATATCTTTGAGATGACATCGGTTGACCACACCGTATATGATTTAGAGGTACAGGATCACACCTCTTCAGGTGCATGTCTCCATACCATACCCGCCACCAAGGCCCCCATAGTCACCACCATAGTGCATTGGACTCCCTCTGCAAACTGCTCTCTATTCTCCCAACTCACGCTGGTAGCCTCTGTGTCACAGTCCAACTTTTAGGGTTTGTTTTGATTTGGTTTTGACTAAAGTTTTTCTTGTGGAATACTATAAAGTAGAGGAAGTTCTCTCATGTTTAAAAATATCAGAGATGACACCACTGTTAACAACAGTGTCAATCCTGACAACTAACGATGCTTGCTAAGTGCCAAGCACTGTGCTATGCATCTACATGCAAGATTCCATCTAATCTTTAAAACTCTGGGAATGAGGTGCTATTGCTATTCCCATCTTCCAGATAAGGCATCTAGAGAACTTAAAAAACAAATCACTTGTCCAATATCATACAACTGATAACAGAACTTGTACCCACACATCTCTCACTCCTAGCCCCAATGCCCAAGGATCATAAAATCAGAGTTTTAGGACTCAAATATACCTTAGTGACCTCTTACTCCAAACTTTCATTTTGTATTCATCTGATTTTGACTGCAGTGGCTCATACATACTAATAGAAGGAAAATGCTGATGAAAGTGAGTTTTGTGTTTTGTGAGAATGTTTTTGTCTACAAAGGAGCAGCATACGTAAGGAACCCATCCCAAGATAGCAGACAGAAAGAATATCACAGACCTAGAAGAACCACTGATCCAGGATATGGTGATAAAATCACTCTCTAAAGGGTTAGAGTAGGGAAAGGAGATGAAATGAAAAGAACACAGATGAGATTAGGTTATGTCCAGTGTTCAATTTGTGAGGATTTAAGCTCCTTCATCTCTTTCAGGTGAACAAATTGCAGCCCCCAGAGAGACGAGATTTATTCAGGCTCTCACAGCTGGCCAGTGGCCAAAAATAGATTAAGAACCACATATCTTTTTGCAAAAGCATGCTGACTTTGAATTATATACTAGGTATTTCCCTAAATTCTCTATCTTCTTCTCAATTATCATATAGGCGCTAAGGGAACATGGGCAAGATTTTCTTGTGGGTAATCGGCTGAGCTGGGCTGATATACAGCTCCTCGAAGTCATCTTAATGGCTGAAGAGTGTGAACCCAGTGTCCTCTCAGGTTTCCCTTTGCTACAGGTAATGCTATCCAGGTAACTCCCGAGAACTGCGGGGAGAAACGAATTTCTGTCATTTGTTTACTTGTTCATTTATTCATCATTTGGGAACCTGTTAGCTTCTTTATGCCAGTACCTACACTAGAGGTACAAAGCCCTCAAAGAACACACCTAGTGGGGGAGACAAGCACATAGACAACCTCAATATAATGTGGTAAATTGAAAAATAAAATATGGGAAAGCATATGAGGATTACCTGGGCAGGTTGGGGATCTGAAGCCAATTTCTTGCAGGAGTTAGTCTCAAAGGCTTTGCCTGGAATGCAGTAGGATCCCAATAAAAGTGGTCTAGATAAGTTGAGGGGAAAGAAAACACTTAAGATTTAGATCTCATGCTAGCATAGCCATTATATAACACCTACCATACCATCACTACACTCTTATTATATACTCAGCTTTATACCAAGCACTGCATAAACATTCCTTCATTTACTACCTCCTCAAAGTAGACAGAAGACTCAGAACTGTTAAATAACTTTCCAGAGGTTACACTGTGAGAAGGAGACAGGACTGGGTCTGATGCCTGGGCCTGCATTTCAAAACACCACTATGTTGGTGGATTCCTTTATAAATTTTTAAAAATATGTTTTTTTAAAGTAATTGAAACTTGCATTGTGATAATTTTGTGGTCTCAATTTTTCTACTTCAAGATACATTGTAAGCATGTTTTGGTACTGTTATTTAATCTGCCTCACTTTTATACAAATGTAGTTTATTTTTGGAGTATTTTTCAAAATTGAGATACAATTGATATAAAACATTACATTTTTAGTTGCAGATGTACAACATATTTGATATTTGCATAATTTGTGAAATGACCACCATCATAAGTCTAGTTAACATTCATCACTACACATAGCTACAATTTTTTTTTTCTTGTGGAAAGAACTTTTAAGATATACTCTGAGTCCTTTCAAATATACAACACAGTATTAGTAGTCACTGTGCTATATATTGCATCCTCAAGACTTATTTTATTACTGGCACTTTGTACATTCTCAAACAAGAAATAACAAGTGTTGGTAAACATGCGGAGAAAAAGAGCCTTTTCTCCCCATTTTGCCCAATCTCCCATTCCCTTCTCTGGCAACCACCTGTCCGTGATGAGTTTAGGTTCTTAGGGAGACAAGAGATGGGTGTGGGGTGTTTTTAGATGCCACACATCAGTGAGATTATATGATATTTGTCTTTGTCTTATTTCACTCAGCATAATACTCTCAAGGTCCATACATGTTCTTGTATACAAGTTTCTTCCTTAAGGCTTGAAAAATAATTCTACTGTGTATCTATATTTTCTTTATCCATTCATTCATTGATTGACATTTAGACTGTTACCATGTCTTGGCTATTGTAAATAATGCTGTGATGAACATGGGTGTGCATATATCTTTTCAGGTTAGTATTTTCATTTCCTTTGGATAAGTACCCAGAATAAGAATTCCAAGATCAGACACTGGATCATTTTTGAAGCGTCTCATTACTGCTTTCCATAGTGACCAATTTACATTTCCCCCAGCAGGGCAAAAGTTCTTTTTTCTCCACATCCTTATCAACATTTGTTATTTCTTGTCTTTTTGATAACAGCCCTGTATTAGGTATGAGGCAATATCTTATGGTGGTTTTGATTTATTTCCCTGATGATTGGTGACACTGGGCACCTTTTCATGTACCTGCTGCTCATCTGTACATCTTATTTAGAAAGTCCTATGCTATTTTAAAGTTTTTCCACAATTAACAGTCTACTTGTGATCACAATAGCCTTAAGTAAAAATCATAAACAAGCTGAAATTTCAATACCTAAGAAATGTCTACATAAATAGACATATCCATTGGACGGAATTTTATGCAATCACTTAGTTATGTTTTCAAATATTACATAATATGAAAAAAAAGCTTTTAAGGAAAATGTGGATTTTTCTTCATTAGTTATATATCAGGATACTCTGGAATGTTGCAACGGCATCTTCATGGGTATGAATTTTGCCACATTTAGGATTATATTACTAGAATATAATCTTAAAAATAGGTTTGCTTATTCACAGCCTATGTACATTTTTGCTTTTTGAAAAATATTACAAGAGTAGCATCACTTGAATGCTGCCAGCAATGGGGATTATAAATTTTAATTTTTTTCTCATATGTAAAAATGTACGTCATTTATATTTTATTTTCTATATTTTTTTTTCTCATGGATACCATACTTTTTTCATTTTAGGTATTCAAGGCAAGAATCAGTAACATTCCTACAATTAACAAATTTCTCCAGGCTGGCAGTCAGAGGAAGCCTCCACTGGATGAAGATTCCATTAAGACTGTGAAGAATATATTCAAATTTGATCATGGCATGTTTCTTAAAAACATGGGCACTGTAGTAGCTGAGTATTAATAAATGGAGAGTTCTCAAGAACTCAATAAATGTTTCACTTCACATTTATAGAGCTACCCAGAAAGATATCATGAGACTATTTAAATAAAGTAACAAAAGGCATAGGGAGATAAACTATCAAACAGTTGATAGTTGATCAAACTATCAAATCAGAAAAACCCCTTCTGCTTTCCATAAAACAGTAAGATACTAATTTATCTAAATAAGAATTCTTCTGCATTCTACTTATTGCAAAAGAATAAAATCATAAGAAAGCAATGGAGGTCAAGAATTTCTTATAAAAAAACAAATCCACACATATGTCAAAATACCCACTTCCACCACCTTTTGGGAAAAGTTTAGGACATATAACATAGCTTCAAATTAGCTTCTGAAGGGCCTCCCCAGTGGCGCAGCGGTTGAGCGCTGGGTTGCGAAGCTGCCCGCAGCCTCTGCGGCGCCGGTTCGATCCCCGGCTGCTCCCCAGCCACCGGAGGAGGGTCCCACATGGCGCGCAGACCTCTCCTGCCGCCGACTGCTCCCCTCAGCAGTGTACTTCGGTCCTTCTGCCTGCTCTGCTCCCTGCTCTGGCTCTGGTGAATTCTCTCACCCTCCTGCGCTTCTGACTGTACCCAGTGCATGTATAAACAAAAACAAAAAAACAAACAAACAAATAAAAATAAAAAAAACATGCCTCTACAAATTAGCTTCTGAAACTTTCAATCACTTCAGTATTTTACAGATAATAGTGTTTACTTCTCTGATCTAGGTCACAATTAGTTTCTATTTTAGTATCATAATCATAGTTTAAGTAAAAGTTGTTGATCTGAATCTGAAGGTTCTTAATCACTGCTGACAGTCAGCAGGCATGTAGAACACTCCGAAGACAGCTTCTTTCTCCAGGCTGCGTGTGGTAACACACCTCTTTGGTGTAGCTAAGTATTTTTGTCTGGGTTTCCTATTTGGTTAAACTAGTTGGTTTCTGTTTTTTTCTTTCTTCCTTTAATTGAATTACTTATCACTGGAAGTTTAACAACCCTTTGAAAGTCCACTGGGAAAGGTAACTGAACACAGCACATTAACTATGCTATTATCAGTAGGGAGCTCTACCCACCAGTTCTTTTAAAGAAAGAGTTTGAGGGGCTTCTCTGGTGGCACAAGGGGTTAAGCACCGCACTATAAAGCAATCTGCAGCCTCTGCAGCATGAAATCAATCCCCAGCCGGCCAGGGAGCTACCCACATGGCACAGCAGACCTCTCCTGTCTCGCCCACTGCTCCCCTCAGCAGTGTATTTCAGTCAATCTGCCTGTTCTATTCCCTGCTCTGTCTCTGGTGAATCCTCTCACCCCCCGCATCTCTGGCCTGTACTCCAGCTCTTGTATGCATAAATAAATAAATCTTTAAAAAAAGAAAAAGAAAGGGTTTGAAATCAGATACCATTGTACAGAGCAAACATACCAAAACTGCAGAGTTTTAAGAGTTCTAAGGGGTCTTGTCAATTATGTAGTTCAAATTCCTCCTTAAGGATGAGAAACTGAGTCCCAGAGAGAGGAAGTGACCTTCCAAAGAGCACACAACCAGTCCATGGAGAAACTGGGCTGGGACTCAGATCCTTGGTGTTCAGTCTTGGATATTAAAAATTATAATTATGCTTAAAATAAAGCAGTGATTTGAAATAGTCATTTTTGTTTCAGAATGATAAAGTATCAACATCTGAGAAAGAGTTTGAACTTAAATATTCCTTCTTCTCAATCTTCCTAATCTCTCTAATATTTGGACATTTAGACGTCAAAGATGACTTGCATATATAGAAAAGATACTAAAATGAAAGAAATGAGCTTAAAGCAGAAGGCCTTTTATTTGAATACTGAATACATTCTGTTATTACACAGGGTGTGTGAAGAATGGAATTTTTTTTCAAGGAAAAAAAGCAGTGCTCCCAGCAATACAATTAAAGCAGAAAAATAGAATTTCTAGTATTAACACAAATAGATACATTACCATTCTGTGAAGTTTACTTAGGGTATTCTGTTATCTGATACATTGTAGTTTAATTTAAACCTCAATTGAGAATTTGGAATTGTCAAAATATTACATATAAAAAACTAGACACAGCAAATTAAAGAATGTATTGCGATCCATTAAATATCTTAACAAAACAGTACCTGACAATTAGAAAACAGTTAAAGTTTTTGTTAAAAAACACACCTCAAATTAGCATCATATTAAAGGTAACAGTGTTTCTTTTGTTTCTAACATAAACAAGACACCTGCAAACCATACTGAAATTCATCTTCTAAACCCAGCGAGCATGCTCTGCACCTTACAGTAGAATGACGTGGATTCAGCCTTCAGTCCCTCTGGATTTTCAGAGTAGCAGCAGGACAAGTCTCAGGATCATCATGAGGCTGGGTTAGAACAAGGCAGAGAAAGGGTTACTTGCCAGTGGTGTAGGCGAGAGATGGCCATGGCTTCCCTTGCCTGCCTGCAGTTTGCTAACTCTGGCTCTGGGGTCTCTCACCACATGGAGCAACGGTGCTCTCCTTATCTCTGGATTTCAACTTCCTAGACAAAATCAGTCACTTAAAAATGCTCAATGAATGAATCAGTAAAAGCAGAACTCCCTGTTCTGAAAATCTGCTAAGAGGTTTTATGAGAGGTTTCAAAGGAAATGTAAAAATTTCAAAAGCCAGTAAAGGAAGCTACTTGGGAAAAAAAAAAAAAATCAATGAACAATTTTCAGGGGTGGAAAGTCATTATTATCTCGGTTACTTTCCATTGATTGGGGTCTTGTCTTCTTGACCCATGAACCCTATTTATGATTTTTTTCTACCATCAAGTATCACTTTTAGAATAGGGATATAACTGAAGAGCAGTCCTTTGTAATGATACTCCCTCCTCCAACCTAAATCATAAACATAATACATAGTCATACTAGAAATTTCTACAATAAATAGAAAGCACTACCACCCAGAGTGGTAGTGTAATTTTAGTAGTTAATTAGAAACTAACACTAAAATTAAACAAAAAACACTACTAATGTGTTGAAATGTTTCATTTTACCTTGTTGCTTTTTTTACACACATTTTTAAAACTTGAGATTATACTTTATTTGGTTTTAATATTGTTTTTAATCCTTTGTTATGTCACTGAGGTTTTCCAATGCTACTAAGCAGTTTTTGAAAACATGACCTATTCCGCCTTTTTACTATTCCATTTACTGAATCATTTCCTTACTTATGAACTTCAGATTGTTTCTAATTATTCAGTTTATCATGTTTTCCATTAGAAATAAAGTTGCAATAAACACCATTCTATATGTACATCTCATTATTTCTTTGGAATAAACTCCAAAAAGATATATCAAAGGAAAAAAAACATGTCTATGACTCTGAACATTTAAAGACAACTTACAGGAAGAATTAAAAATGTTACCTACAAATTTTTACCTGGTAACATGCTTAATCTCAGGGGTAGAACTACTGAAATTAAATAAAGAGAACTTGACACCCCCTATTTATCTTTTAAAAATATATTAAGCTTTCTGTCTTAAAAAAATACTTTTGCGGAGGACTATTGAGAGTAGTGCCCAAATATCTTTTAAAAACAAAAAACCGAGACAACAGAATAAGTGCCCAACTCCTAAGTATGACTGAGTACCAGACTTACCGTCTCAGGTGGATAAATCTTGAAGAAAAACAAGTCTGAATTTGGTTCTTTATTTTGAAAAAGCTAGGTGTGCACATGTGACCTGATATTATGCCAAAAATAAGCATATTTGATTAAAATGGTCACAGGCACATCAATACTAAGACTGGCAGAATGCATAACATTTTAAGGTTTTTATAGTCATGCTTAATGAACTTTTGTCAAAAATTAGCATTTTAAAATGGTGACAGAGAAAGGATAGGTCAAGATAGTTTTTCTTACCTTAAACCAGCAACAAGCCCAGCTGGCATTATTTTCTTAGATCTCTTAAATCTCACACCCATGATGGTGGCCAGGAAGAAAGCTGTAACTGAAAACCAAACCAGTGCTTGAACCAGAGCTTCAAACATGCTATCTATTAATGCTTGTTTTGTGAAAAAATGGCTATCACTTCTGCTAAATAACATTATATACAGGTACTAAGCTGCTGTTTTCTTTGGGGAAAAAAAACAACTAAATGCTTTATTAAAACACTATAAACACTAAAAGCTAGTGTTTTTAGAAAAGATTTTAGAAAAGATTTCTGAGTAAACCAGCATGTTAAAATCCATTCCTGAAATATTTTCAAAAGAAATAGTTTTTTTCTAAGTTAAATTTCTCTTTATAGAACATACCTTGAAGGCTAGAACTGCCTCTTACCAGCTTCCCCAGGAGCACTAAGCATTGTACTTGGACCCACAGGAGACACTTAATAAATGTTAGGTCACCGAATGTAAGAAAGATAATCAGTATCTTTTTTTTTTTTTTTTTTTAAGTAGAACCTGATTAATAAAATAATATTATTTTATTTTAGTTTTGCAGCATTTGGGAAATTTGATGCCTGGGAGACTAAATAACAACAATCTAGGTAAAATTATATCAGCCTTTCAGGAGCTGAACTGATATGAAGTAAGACATGGTTTTATGTAAAAGATTAGGACACTGATATCACAATTTAAGAAGAGCTTAAGAAAAACCATTTGCTGATATAAAAAACATGACTGATAATGAACATGTGAATTATTTAAATGCAAATGAGCAAATAACCTAATATATCCGTATCTTGCTGACATAATTAGGTATATATATATATAATAGCTTTATCTCCTGACAATTTCATTATTAAAAATATCCCTAGTTTTTCTTTACATTAAAAACAAAAAAAGCCCACCAAATCTCTTGCTTTCCCTCAAATACAGAACTGACACTATTACACTATTACTATTTGTTTTCATTTGTATTTTCTTCCATACTTTACCAGGCCACTTTGAATAATAATCAAAGAAAAAAGACAATTTCCTTGGTGTAGTTTTCTAACTTCACTGTGTTTCCCTCTCAACCTAGGTAAAGGATAGTCAAGTGTCTTGGGGCTTTAAACACACACATTTCCATTTTTCTGTGGGCATTCGCCTACTAAACCCACAATGGGAAAATGTTAAACAAAAAAAAAGATCAGCCTTGCTTCTCTAGATTAAGTCTTAAGGCAAAGTAGGAGCTAAAGCTGTCTGTAAAATAAATAAAATAATGCAGAGAGCCAGAAGAAAATCTGGGCCTAATTCCTTGCTTTTTCTAATTATATTTTATTTTTCTTGTAACAAGTTCTGTAGAAGTATACTTCTGAGTTGGAAGGCATGGTACAGTATCATTTTCTAAAAGTTCTGTCTAGAAAGGAAGAAGAATTGTGTTCAGTCTGGAACACACATACACCCATTTGCCATCTGTCTATAGGTTTTCACTTATATTACTTCAGAAAGGGTTTTAAGCTACCCCTGCAGTTTGCTTCTCCATAACCAGGAAAAATACCTCACTTACACAGGGATAGTTTTACATCTCGCTTGTCATTGGAGACACGGTAAGCTCCATAGCCAGCCAAGAATCCAACAAATAGACCTGCTATCAATGATGGAACACCACCTGGAAAAAAAAAGTATGAGCTCAGAAAGAGAATCCCCAAATGAAAGGAATTCCTTCCGCTACTTCAAGTCTGATATGTGGACTTTCCAATGCCATTTCTAGTCAGGCACTGTGACAGGACACAGTCTAGTGAGGTAAGTATTGACCTGCTGATGGATAGTTCCTGAGAAATGACTGCCACAGCGGAGGAAGTCCAAATACTTAGTGATGCAACCAACACTGAGCACTTTCCATGCTCTGGACAGAGGGCTACATGCCAGTGACAGTGTGAAGAAGAAGCACAGTCATCGTCTCGTGGAATGCACTCTTTTTAGAATCGATTCAAATGGAATCCCTAGGGTAGGGTTAAGGCATTCTCTTTTTAAAATATTTATAAGAAATGCAGATTGCAGTCAGCGTTAGAGCCATTGCAGCAACATCTCCATATACCCACACATTGGCCCACCCATACCCACACATGTGCATGCCCCCCGAGCAGCACCCCAAATGAGAAATCAGGTATACTTTTCTCAAAACAGAAATATGAGATACCATGACTATAAATGCTCCTATCTTAAATCAAGGTAAAATATAAAACTTCACCTTTCATTTTTCTCCATGAAATCTCTTTAATTTAGCAACTGGGAAGATTTTCCCCTTCTTTTTGACAGAGATGAAAAGACAACTTCAGATATGATAATTAAGTATTTAATAATTTTCCTTTGTAACACACAGTATCAATATAATTCAGTTTTTTGACACTGTGAGCATGTAAACAAACAAACAAAAATCCTCATTGGATAATGAGAGAGTAGCCCCGAGGAGGTTAAGTCACTGAATTATGCAACCAATAATGACAGATGAAGGGCGACCCAGAACCCCAGGTGGAATACCCAGGGAACCACTTCCTTCCATGCAGCTCCTCAGGCACATCTAGGACATCTTTAGCTTCAGGTCCTAGTTACAGGCCCTTAGACAATCTTAACACAACTCCACTCCCGACCAAGACCCTTGGGTGGAAAGTCTGGTCTGGGCTTACCTCTTCGCTTATATCCCAAGATGCTTCCAAATGTCAAAAGGGCTGCGTATCCAAAACCAATCAGGTCCATTGGTAAAGTTGCAATTCTAAAGCAAGGGGGAAGGGACACATTTACAACGTGAAGAGAGTTTGGGGGAGCAAATGTATATAAAAGTGATATGTAATCTATATAGTTGTAGAAATTAATTTCTCTAGTCTACTATAAAAAGGAAAGCTCAATCTTCACCTATCCCCAGGGCTCAGCCACTGTGCCCTCCCCAAACCCCCAACCATCCATTGCACTCTCAAGCACACCCAGGGGGGCACCGCAGGTTGATTCACCTTTCCTTGTCTTAAACACCAGCTACACACTCAATGGTCAGTCATTAAAGAATACAATGAAGCCTTGGCGCAGTGTTAACTGAAAGATGATGATATCCTATTATGTATCAAAAGCAACAGATGAAATACAGATTCAGGGGTGGGATGTTCCATTGAATTCCTGCCCTCAGGATTCTCTAAGATGCAGAAGAATGATGGCTAAGATGCTGGCAACAGGCTGGAGACCTGGGTGCTGGTCACTTGCTGGTTGTTAGTCCGTGGACCTTGTCCCTAACACCAACTCTTCTTACAGTGAGAACAGGTAAGATGAACGCTAAAATTCCATGCAACTTTTTAAATGTGCTAAGATTCTGGTAGCGCTTTTATTTTTTTATTTTTAAAGATTTATTTATTTATGCATACAAGAACTGGGGTGGAAGCCAGAGGGGGTGAGAGGCTTCACCAGAGACAGAGTGGGGAGCAGAACAGGCAGATCTACTGAAATAACTGCTAAGGGGAGCAGGTGAGGCAGGAGAGGCCTGCTGGGCCATGTAGGTTGCTCCCTGGCCGTCTGGTGAAGGGGGATCTAACTAGTGCTTCAGTGGCTGGAGATAGCTTGAAAGTGCTGTCTTTAACCCCTGCACCACCACAGAGTTCTGTAGCACTTTTATATCTTAACTTTTTAATATTTCCTCCATGGGAAAAAAATTTTATATGAAATTTCTTTGTATTTTTCGTTATCTCAATTGATCACGTAAGTTAACCAGATTTCTTATTCCCTTAAATAAAACAAATTAATCCAAAAGAACAGAAAAGGAGTTCTGTACTTATCTCAGAGTAAGCCAGAACTTACTGCGAGGAAGGAACTGAGGGGAGGGAATTGGAGACACAGGTGGAGATGAAGGCACTGGAAACTCCTTAATACCTGTGGGGAAAAGAATTACAACAGGAGAGTTTATCTGTGCCCAAGTAGTGGCACAGTGGGCCTGAACATGTAGGAAGGACCTGTGTTCGAACACCTGCGCAGGCTTTCCCAGGAAAGACACAGAAATTCATGCTTCAGTGATCAAAAGTGCTTGAGAGAGAGGCTTGGCGGTTGTGACAGGGGGTGAGAGGCTGCCGTACAAATAATGGAGGCGCTGCTACTTGGCAGATGGCTGTCGGGAGCGATGAGCGGAATGGTATGGACATACTTGACTGAGGGTAAATATATACAAAGGAGCTGGGTTACTCCCAATGGGCCAGGTCCCCAGGGAAATGAACAAGGACAGGGCCCTGGGCTGTATTCCCCTCCTTCACCCCTTGGGACTGTTGCTGACCTTGTGAGGCTCATTGAGCCAACACAGAGACAGCAAGTGTCAGGTCTGGAACCCCAGAAAGAAGGGCTGTCAGCAGTGCCACAAAAAAAAAAGACTGCCCTCCACCTCACCTCTCCCTCCCATGCCCAGAGCAGTCATACCATCCAAGCCCCTCTCCTACCCTGACTTAGCAGCTGCAAGATCAGGTGTCAGTCCTACGGAAGCTTGGAATGGCCAAACACCCAAAATCATAAAACACCCACAGCACCACCTCCTGGAAAGGCCATATATGACAAGCCCACAACTAACATCAGTTAATGGTGAAAACTGAAAGCTTCCTCTCAAAGACCTAGTATAAAACAAGGATATTCACTTTTACCACTATTATACATCATAGTATTGGGGGTACTAGCTAGTGCAATTAGGCAAGAAAAAGATATAAAAGGAGTCCAAACTGGGAAAGAACATGTAAAAGTATTACTACCTGTAGATGACATGATAATATACATAGAAAGCTCTAAAGATGCCACTAAAAAACTACCAGAAACAATAAAGTTTCAAGAAAGAATCCCATTTATAACCACATCAAAAATTAAATACCAAGGAATAAACTTATCAAAGAGGTGAAGGACCTGTACAATAAAAACTATAAAGCATAGTTGAAGTAAAACACACAAAGAAATGGAAAGACAGGCCCCAAACATGCATTAAAAGAATCAGCATTGTTAAAATGGCTATTTTACCCAAAGCAATATACAGATTCAATGCAATCCCTATCAAAGTTTCAACAGCATTTTTCAAATAAAACAAACACTACTAACATTCAAATAGAACCACCAAAGACCCTGGGAATAGCCAAAGCAATTTCGACACAAAAGAAGGGTAGTGTCATATGCCAGGACTTCGAACTATACTACGGAGCTTATAGTAATTGAAAAAGTAAGATACTGGAATAAAAATAGGCACAGAAACCAATGAAATAGAATTTTGAGAGCCCAGAAATAAGCTCACACTTATACGAACAGTGAATCTATGATAAAGAAGCCAAGAGTATACACTAGAGAAAGGAAAATCTTTTCAACAAATGGTGTTGGAAAAACTGGACAGCCACATGGAAAAGAATGAAACTAGGCCACTATCTCACAGAATATAGAAATATTAACTCAAAATGAATTAGACTTGAATGTAAGACCTGAAATCATGAAGTACACATAAGAAAACATAGGCAAAACACTCCTCGACGTTGGCTTCAACAATTTCTATGTAGATTCATCTCCAATGAGAAGAAAAAGAAAAGAGAATATAAACGAATCGGACTGCATCAAACTAAAAAGCTATACAGTGAAAAGAAACTATCCTTAAAACCAAAAGATACCCTACTGAATGGGGAAAAAAACTTGCTCATCATACATCTGACTAGGAGCTGATATCCAAAATCTACAAAGAGCTCATACAACTCAACAAAAAGAAAACAAATAACCAAATCTAAAAATGGGCAGAAGAGCTAAACAGATACATCTCCACAAAAGACACATGATGCCCAAAAATAGATGAAAAAAAAAATCATCATTACTTATCATGGAAATGCAAATCCAAACCACAATGAGGGGCCTCCCCTGGTGGCGCAGCAGTTGAGTGCTGGACTGAGAAGCTGCCGGCAGCCTCTGCAGCGCTGGTTCGATCCCTGGCCACTGGGTGAGGGTCCCACATGGTGCGACAGACCTCTCCTGCTGCGCCTGCTGCTCCCCTCAGCAGTGTACTTCGGTCCTTCTGCCTGCTCTGCTCCCCGCTCTGGCTCTGGTGAATTCTCTCACCCTCCCGCGCCTCTGACTGTACCCAGTGCTTGTATACATAAATCAAAAATAAATAAATTAAAAAAAAAAACAAAAACAAACCACAATGAGAAACCATCTCACAACTGTGCAAATGGCCCATATTAATAAGAACAGAAACAACAAGTGCTGGCAAGGGTATTGAGAAAAAGGAGATCTAGTACACTGTTTTCCTATGGAAAATACAAAGGTTTCTCAAAAATGAAAAATGGATCTACTATATGATACAGCAATTCCACTCCTAGGTATCTACCCACTGACTACAAAAACACTAATTCAAAGGGATATATGCACTGTTTGTTGCAGTCCTATTTATAAGAGCCAAGTTATGGAAATAACCTAAGTGCCAGAGGACAGATGAGTGGATTAGTACTATGTGGTATAGATACACAATGGACTATTATTCAGCTATAAGAAAAAGATGAACTTCTGCCATTTGTGACAACATGAATGGACTGGAGGAGATAATGCTAAGCTAAGTCAGTAAGAAGGAGAAATACAAATACAAAATGGTTTCAGTCAGATAGTGAGTACAGAGATACAAAACAAAGGATGAGAAAAAAAATCAACCCAGTAACAAACCCCAGAAATCTGACCATTTGGGAGGGGGAATGGGAGGTGAAAGGCCCAAGAGAAGGGACTGTGGTGAGGGACTATAGGTGGTGTGGTGGTGCGTAGCCTGTCTGAAGAGGGATTATCTTATACTTCTGAATCATATACAATGGCGTACATCAATGTTACCTTATTAAAAACAACAACAAAGAGAAAGGGAGGAGGGAGCGAGAGAAATAGATGGTGGAAGAAAAAAGGAAAAATATATATGGAAAGTTCTTCGCATATACTGATTTGCAGGCTTCTATCATGTTAATCTTAATGAGTGAGTTCTCTTGAAGCCTGCTCTTGGGCACTTATTCTGTTGTCTCGGTTTTTTGTTTTTAAAAAATATTTGGGCACTACTCTCAATAGCCCTCCGCAAAAGCATTTTTTTAAAAAAGACTGAATCTGAAAAAAAAAATAGCCATTTGTTGATTTAGTGATGGATAAATAATAATGAGAATGATGATACTTTGAGAAATTACATGTGTTAGGCACCATTCCACAGCTTTACATCAACTCATTTTATTACCACTACAACATATGAGGTGAGTGCTATCAATATTGCCCTTTTCCAGGTGAGGAGAATGAGGCAGAGAAAGCAAGCAGTACCTCTGAGGTCGCACAGCTGAGCCAAGATTTCAGCCTCAGAAAAATCTCATTCCTAACCACTAGCAATACCTCTTGGAACTAATTCAGCTGGCAGGAAAAAAGGGAATATGCAAATGCAACTGATGTTCCTCAGGTTTAAATTCTGGATTCATCATTTCTCTTTGGACTCATAGCTTGAAATTGTGATCACACTGCTTTCGATCAGTGACTTGCCATTTCAGCTCCATAAGCACCTCAGATTCAATCATGCTTAATGTCTTTTTCAAAGAGGTATTCACATTCCACTATGTTTGCCTGGCTTCAAACCCCATGCCACCACCTTCTGGACATGTAACCGTAGGCCTGTGCCTTAATCTCTCTGTAACTGTTTCTCCATCTTTAACACAGGATAATAAAAATATCCACTGCATAGAGCTGTGATAATTAAATGAGCTAATACTGCAAAGCACTTAGAACAGTGCCTAGCACACATCGAGGACTCAAATAATAGCCACTCTAAAGATTATTCTTCTTTTTCACTCTCAAATCCACTTTTAAGCTTTACATGAGCAAAGACATGTAAAAGACATGTAAACATTCCTTTAACATTCTCCATGAACTGAGCCTTGTTCTAAGGAGGCAAAAGAAATCTATTCTCAATCCTTGCAAGAAGTTTCAGCACTCACAGAGAAAATTTAGACAAAGAGCAATAATCCCTCTTATTCCTTTTCCAAAGCAGGACCATTTAACCTGGCCAGAGGCAACACAGAGATGAAGGGGCTGCGATAATATGAAGGGGCAGGGTAGGGACCATGTGTTGGAGCAGCACACGCCGCCATGCAAACTTGGAAAGGCCAGAAAGCATCTTGGCTGCAATGCAGCAAAATGATTCACCAGGTATAAAACTAAGTGGCACGGTCCTCCCTTGCTCTTCGCCTTCCAAAATTTGGGACACCCACTAATAGATTTTTCCTAAGCTACCACTATATAAAAAGCATTTTCACATGTTAAGTATCAAAAATTGCCTACCCTAGAACTCCTTGGGACTCAAAAGACACATTTTCGAGTGAAGTCTTGGTGATGCTGGGGAAGTAAAAACCCTGCCAAGTATTTCTGCAGTAGCCCAGGAGCCCCACCCGTTTCTCCACCTCTTCCCATCTCCGGGGAGGTAGGGAGGGTGGGTGGCTGACTCAGGACCCCACGTGAGAAGGAAGAAATTCGCGGAATTCCCATGAAGAGGAGAAAAGCGATCCCTAAGAGAGCCCATAACCAGCCCCACCAGAATCCTCCCCAGGTCCTCTGCATCGCTGCCTACTATTTTCCGCGCTGTTAGTAGGAAAATCCATGGCAAAAAGGGCTCCCTTTGTGGGGTGTCTAGCTCACCTGCAGGCCCGAGCCCTCAGCACGGCTGAGAAGAGAGAAATCGGGACTGAGAAGCCAGCAAACTAGATCCCCGGCGTCCGGAAGCAGCCTCACTGGCAGCGCCTTGCGACTCTGCAACCTACTTTGCAGCACCGGGCTGGGGCGGCGGGTTCCGGGCGCGCCCGCACGCATGCGCCGGGCCTCCCTCCCCGCCCTCGGGGCAGCCCTCCCGGGCTCGCCCCGCGCAGCCCGGGGCCGTGGTGGGCTGGACCACCTGGAGCATCCAGGCGGCTACACCCCAGAGGCTGCTGATCGAACCTGGCCCGGAGTCCGGGGCCGGAAGCGGCTGCCTCCTGCCACACGGAGCAGGACTGAAAAGCGCATGGAGTAGGTCTGGATGTGACAAGGGAGCCCATCCCAGTAGGGGAAAGATTTTTAACCATGAAGTTGATTCATCATTCAAGAGACATTTGTTTACAACAGTCCAGGCCTTTTACATATTTTCCAACAGATTGTCCCATTGCAAGTGGAGGTTTTGGGGGAGAGGATGTTCTGAGCAACTCCACAAACTCGGGTTTTATGGATTCCGCCCCCACCCCAGGCCAAAGAGATTGGAGGCACCAAGGACTGCAAATCCCATATGTCATCATCACAAAAGGGAGGCTTGCTGGGAACTGAGTGGAGTTAAGCAGCCAGTCTTGGTATATATAGCCAGACGGTGTAAACCTGGGGTGTGGCTGGTTTTTCCGTTGGCCTTCAGCATGCTGTTGAGGTCCCAGCTCAGTGGAACTGGTAGGATGTGTTCACCAATTTATCTCTCTTTCTCCCTGGGTTATTCCTCTCTTCATTTCCCCTTTAAAAAAATAAACCCTTAATTAACCTTTTTTTCATGTGCCTGCAGTTGAGCCTCATTATAAGTCCCTTTTAAGCACATGGGTGAAGATCCACACTCATGCCAACTCATTTCACATTGGGGCTGCCCTGTAACAGAGGGAGCGAAGGTTCAGGGAGGTGAAGTGATATGGTTGTACCAGGTCTCTGGCCCTAAATGGAGTGGGTAGATTTGAGTCCAAGTTTGTCTCCAAGCTGGAGCACTATTCATTACGTCACATACTCTGGGGTGATCTAGATGGCAGGAGGTCGGCTTCCTGGTTTATACTCCAGGCCAAGGGTTTTCTGGGCTTAAATATTTGAAGGGAAAGGCAGAGAGTGCCAGAATTTAAGGTTCTTTAAATCTGTCTAGTCCCAGGATAACCGGTTCCCAGGTATGACACTTAAATTGACTTGGAATTATCCCTCTTGTAACAACTTTTCATCCTACTCCAGTTAGCCTTCTGGGCTGCATACAATAACTCTGATCTCCTTCCTCAAACAGTCCTCAGATCTGAAGACAACCCTGTAGTCATCAGGTAGCTCTAGGGGTGCCTTAGGGCTGGAATAAACAAATCTCTTAAAATAAAAAGAAACCTAGAATATTCTATTAACTCTTGTCAAGTTTATTTGCTGAATCCAATCCCTGTGCTTAAAAGTGCTTCAGGGAAGTAACCAACTTAATGAGAAGTCTAAGTTGGTCCCAGGAAGTTGATAAGATTCCTGAAGGTTGAGAGTTGACTGCAGACACGGGAATGTGGAGTGCAGAAAGCACCATCTAGAAGTTTGGCTCTGAGGTCGCTCTACTTTCCATTCCTTCTATGCCCCTGGCTACCTCAGTCTCTTCCCTCTCTCTCTTTAGACTTGAGCATTTATTCAGAATAAAACTAAAAACCCTCTTGGAATGCCTCAGTTCCTTTAACTGATGTGACCTCTCACCCCCCAGAAATAACACCCTCTCCCCTAGAGCTGGACTTATGCTACTCAAATTAGATGTTGAGACCCCTTCCACTCTGTCCTGAGGTGTTAGAAGCTGAAAACAGTTGCATGGTATTCCCACTCAAGGAATTTTCACCTTAAATGAACAGCTCTGATATTTTATATTTTATGGGACTGCCATACTCTTGGACACGTGGGAGCAGGAAAGTTGTTGGGCAAACAGGGCACTCTCCTCTCAACTCATAGGCCACCAGCTGCTACCTACTCCAAATAAAAGCAAGGTTAGAGCAGGAGGAGAGGGTGCAGCAAAGCCTATTCACTTCTACCTATTTGTCATGCTTTCTATTCATGAATCACAGCATTGTGCCTCCAGACCCCTTAGGCAGTCTGAAGAAATGCATAAGATAAAATATGTGGGATTGTGAGGAAAGCCAATTTTATCAAAATGTTAAACATTAAAACTGTGATATAAGAGATGTGCTTCTTTACTAAATTACTCTAGAATTAGACCTAGGTGTGGTTTTAGTAATAACTTTTAATAGTGGTACACATGAATAATAGTTTGAGGTGAGGTGACAAGTGTTAACACCTGAGTATCTGTGATTCCTAACGAGAATCATGGGATGGGGCGGGGAGGAGCACAGAGGACAGAAGTGATGGTGCACGGGTGCATTAGTGAAGGAAATTCTATGGGGACTACACCTGGGAGGGAGCAAATATGTTTAAAAATGAACAATGATGTAAAAAAATACTTAATGAAAAAAAGAAAACCCCAAAAAGACCCTCATCTTGTATGGTTATCTTAACGATCCACACAGGGAGTAGAATCTTGGATCCACTGTACCCCAGTAACCCTGGCTATCACCCAAAAGCCTGTGAACCCTGGGTATTCCCGGGAGCCAATAATAAATAGCAGCTGCTATTTAAAACACATCAGAAGGGTGCCTCCCTGGTGGCACAGTGCTTAAAGACACATCAGTATCAAGCTATGGTCAGTCACTCCAGCATGAGTTTGATCCCTGGTCTGATCCCTGGCCAGCCAGGGAGGTGACCCACATGGCGCAGCAGACCTCTCCTGTCTTGTCCGCTGCTCCCTCTCAGCAGTGTATTTCAATAGATCTGCCTGTACTGTTTCCCACTTTGTCTCTGGTGAATCCTCCCACCCACACCCACCCCTGAACTTCTGGCCTACACCCCAGTTCTTGTATGCATAAATAAATAAATCTTAAAAAAATAAAAAGACACCAGAAGGATAATTCCATCCTAGGGATGAATGGATGGTTGGTAGCTACCTTTCTTCTAAGCTGTTACATACTCTTCTTGTTTTTGCTCTGTAGTAAGTGAGCCCTGCCCCTGTCCTTCTGGAAACTTCATATGGTCCTAGAAACACAATTGAAATTCCATTCTTCTATGGAGCCCTCTGACAACATCAGTCCTCTTCAGCGGAAGTAGCTACAGAAGGAGACCTTTAAACCCCCTCAAGAATGAGGAATGGAATGCAACAGGGGAGGAAGTTTGTTCAAGGGTCCTGGAACCTGGTCCTTGCTTGTTATCTTCCTGTTGTTTGGTGCCCAGGATAACAGGAAAAAACAAGACCCTGTACCCTATTTCCCCACTGCCTCACCCTGGTGATCAGCCCCACAAATCGTGGATATCCCTGCTTCTGCTTCTCTCAGTGTGACTCGTGACAACTGTGCCTCTCTCCTATTGAGTGATCCACAATAAACATTCCTTGCTTGAATCCTTGATGGGGTCTCTCTCTAAATTCCTTTCCTTATGTCATTAATAAAGTTAGAAAAGAACTCTCAGAGGTCAGTAGCAGTATACCCAAGTGAATTCAGCAGCTGCTATTTTTGACTAAATATTGATGTCTTTTGGGAAAATGAAAACACCTTGGATTGGTTTACAGGTACTTGCCTGTGTCATTCTGGACTTGTGAGATTCGGTCTCCATATCTGCTTTCAAATCCTTTTTCCCACCAAGCCTAACTCAAAATTCTTTCTGCATGTTGTACCATAGCTGTTTTGGTTGTTTACCTCCCTTCCACCTGTCATTAAAATAACACAGGCATTTCATCTTTTTAAGTGACGGAGTCATGCTATATTGGTATTACAATCCTCATTTTTGTTATCTGATCTCTTGGAAAGCATGGTCACAATAGTCATGATGTGATAAAATTAGCTAGCACAACCTTGATACAAAGCACAATAATAAATACACAGGCAAGGTCAAAGATGGCCTGCTAATATTCACAATTATACACACTTAAGTCCCAGCATTCTGAGTGATGCAACAACACATTGATAAATTATTAGTGCAAACTCTGAATTATGGCGCCAATGTCAGTGATCAGGGGAAAGGTGGGCAAGAGCAACTGCAGAAGGTGGATAATCTATTCCATATCCATTTGACACTAAAGGCAGTGCTGTATTGTATTTTTCTTCCAACTTCCCCCGCTGCCCAAAAACCAGGACCTCTCACATTCCAGGGAAGCATTTCTCAGGACATGATACTTTCAGTGCTAAAATTGGGATGACTTGTTACCCTAGTAGTTTCCCCAAAACCCAAGGGCTAGCTTTCCAGAGGTAGAAAGGCTGGGATACTGAGTTAAAGATTCCTTAGCTTGCTATCACTGATGGTGTGAAACTTCTCCGTAATATGTTCCGCAGGTTCCTCTTTATAGGTGGTGAAAACAGAACCTTGTCTTTTGCTACATAGTCTCTGGAGCCATTAAAAAGCTCATTGGCCTCAATCTGGAATCACAGGCAAAGCTAAGGGCTGGTGCACCCCCTTACCCTGGATCTAAAGGAAACTACAGGAAAAAAGGTACCTGAAGGCCAGAGAGGAGAAGAAAGAAGACAAACCAGAGGCCTTCAGCCAGCCAAGGAAGGAAGGAAGAAGCAGCTGCCAGTGGGGAGTATAAACCACACCTTGGGGAGACACTCCCCAGCTCCCAAACTTGCCAAAGTGGTGTCTGATCTCCTCCTCAGTGTCTTTGGAGTACAGACCCCCATAAAAATTTTTTTTCACAAGCTCTTTCTTCACTGGGATTGGTGTCTCAGCCCTTCAGGCTGTGGGCCCTCCACTGCCCTCCACAGTAGTACTGTAGTACCTGAAGTTTGTCAGGACAGAGCGGTTTGGGGACTTTCTGTGCTAAAACCAGAAGTGAGGGGTTGCCTGGGGAGTGGAACTTTCAGTGGGAACACAAGTAAAGATTTCACCCCTAAAAGACATTAATACATTTCCAGTACCCACTAGCTGCCATTCACAGCTCCACACTGACCCTAGCTTAAAACCACAGCGCCCAGAGGTGAGAAGAGGAAAGCAAGGAACCTCATCAAGGCATAGGTCCTGGCACAAC